GGCGACATCCCCTCCTGCTCCCAGGAGAGAAGCCGGGACCCGCCGGGCCCGACCCCCTCACCCGCGCACGCCTCTGCCCATCGTTCCCCACGAGCGCCTCTGCCTGTTAAACCATGACAAGGACTCCCGCCCCGAGTGTCCCAGGGGAGCACACCTTGCTCGGCGATGGTATTGAGGGCGCCTCGGTGCCCTTGCCGCCCTTCTCCTGCCCCCGGCAGTCCCCGCTGCCCTTGTCGGGCGGCTGCTGCTGCTGCTGCTGCTGCTGCTGCTTTCCTTCTTGCTGCTGCTGCTGCTGCTGCTGCTGCTGCTGCTGCTGCTGCTGCTGCTGCTGCTGCTGCTGCTGCTGCTGCTGCTTTCCTTTTTGCTGCTGCTCCTGCTGCTCCTGCTGCTCCTGTTGTTGCTCCTGCTGCTGCTGCTGCTGCTGCTGCTGCTGCTGCTGCTGCTGCTGCTGCTGCTGCTGCTGCTGGCCCTGTCCGGGCTCGTCCTCATCCATTGCATCCTCAAGGTCCTCATCCTGGTGGCACAAGACATGAGTCGCGGCGAATGGGTGACATCAGCAGAGGTTGCACTATCTGTGCCATCAAAACCAACATGGAAACGCCTGCTGCGACGCTCCGCGACACAGGCGTGTGCATGCGCGCTCGTACGCATATGCTGTCAAGGCCACGCCCGCGCCGCGTGGCAGCTCCCCCGCCGCGGCGCGAGCGGCTGCGGTAGGCGCGCCGCACCTGCGCCCCTGCCGCCGCGGGCGCGCTTTCATTGCCACGCTTGAGGCGCTTCAGGCGGCGCCCGTCGCCGGCGGCCTGCGCACGGCACCGCTGATTTATCAGATAAGTGCAAGTGAGGGCAGGAGCGGGGCAGGAAGGGCAGCGGCATGTCGCGAGCCAAGCCAAGCGTTGCCAGAGGGGTCCGTCGACGTGCAAAGCGTGCACACCTCTGCATTGCCAGTCTCCTTGCGACCTCCCGCTGCAGTTGTGCGCTTGTTCTCCTTGGCCGCGTCCTTAGATGGATTACATGCGGCCCCAGCATCCCCTGTGGGCTTGAAGAAGCTGCTGATGCCTCGCTGCTTGCGCTCGGCTGGCTTGGGATCGGTGCCCATGGCCCAGCGGTCCTCTGATAAGAGCACTGAGGGCCGAACCTCTTTTGAAAGACTCAGAAAATGGCTTTGAATGAAAAAGTCGCAGGCAGCAACCAGATCACACACGCGCGACTTTCGAAACAGTCAAGTTCTTTATCTTGCTTGCACCATGCCGCATGCCACCAACACTCAAATTGTGGTGCTGTCTCCGTTGATGGCGTGACACGCAGCCAGCAGGTCCTCGTGTGGTAACTCCAACGCCAACTCCGATTTTCAAATTTCGGTGGTACAGCTCGACTGATCTACAGTCATGGTGATCCCAGGCAGCTGAGCTGATGCACATGTTTTACAGGTCACAAAGTCTTGACTAGGCACTTTTGAGCTGTACCTCAGTACGCCTCCATTAACCATACAAGCACCAAACGCATCCGCCTGTGGCCCGTTACAAACCGTCACCCACCGCTCAGAAATGTGATGCAGCGGCCAATCTTACCTGGTTGATTTGAAGCCAACGTCTCTCGTCAAAAGTAAAAGTTAAGGGATTGGCTGTGTGCATAAGCTGTGCCTGTGAGCAACCAATGCAGCAGCCCGTCCTCACTCAAGCTCCCGGTTCCATAGGGCAGCGGCTGAGCGGCCGGGCCGCACGTGGCGGCTGGACACTCAAACCGCGGTGCGCCCCACGACCGACCAGCCCACCGACTCGACAAAAGTAAAAGTGGCAGTGTAGAGGTGGCGCCGCCGCCGTGTCCAGGCAAGCGCAGCCGACCGGCGACATCGGGGCCGCCGCGTCGTACACAGCGCGAGCTTGGGGACGGCTCGCGGCGCCGCGGCCCGCCCAAATCAAGTCAACAATCCCGTGGCATGAGTGGCGGTGTTGCGCGAGGTGGCGAAAAGGCTCGGGGTGCGCGCGGCCGAAGGGCAGGCCGGGGTTGGGCGCGCAGAAAGTGGCAGTTCAGGGTTGGTGCAGCGGAACGCAGACCCAGGCACCCGGTTCAAGTCGGACCTGGCGCCAGTGCAAAGCGATCAGCGCGCCGCCCGCAGCCACTCCAGCACACGCGGGAGGCAAGGCCGTCGCCCAACCTCCGCCAACCCTCCAAGCTGCGAGCGGGCGGGCGGGCGGGTGTGCGAGCCGGCTGGCCTGGCGGGCGTTGGGGGCGGCTGGGGTGTGGTCCGGGCGCGGGCGGCAGGCAGTCGCGCTGATGAGAGGATGGGAATGGCGCAGCGTGGCAGCAGGCGGGGGAAAAGAAGTGTGCAGTTCGGTCCTGACGGGCCCCGAGGGCCCGGGCGGCGGACAGGCGGCAAAATGATACCAAGGACCGGGGGGCGCCCCGCGCTCGCAGGACGCGAGGCGCCCTGATAGGATGCCCGGAGCGTGCGTTAAGCAAGACCAACCAAAGTCCACCGTGCTCGCGCCGCCGCCCGCGGGGCGGCGGGCGGCGGCCGCGGTTCGGGCAAGTGCGCCTGTCCCCGGGACACATAAAGTAGTGAGAGGGTGCACCCGCAGTGGGGTATAAGAGGCAGCCCCAGGCACCAGAAAAGGTCAGAAAGTGGAAGCGGCAGAAGTGCGGCGGCAGCGGTCGCCAAGCGCGGCCACGCGTCCAGGGCGCGCCGCTGCCACGACCGCCGCCGTCCCTGCCGCAGCAGCGGGCGGCGTGTCGCGGCGACGGGGCGAGGCCAACAGGGCTCGGCGCTTGTAAAGTATACCAAGTAGGGGGGCGGCCGGGTGCGAGGACCCCGGGGCTAGGCGCAGAATGCAAAAGGCGTCGGCAGCCGCGGCGGTGCGGGCGCCGGCGCGGCGGGCGCGAGCGAGCGGATTTGCAAGGGGTCTGCCTCCCTCATACGCAGGGGTTTATGCGCGCGGCGGCGCGGGTAGGCGTGGGCTGGGCTGAGGGTGTTGGAGAGGGCCGAAGTGAGGCCGCGGAACGGCCGCCGAGCCCACAAGTCGGGGCAGGCTCAGCAGCGGAGATGAGGGGGTGGGGGCGAGGGGGGCGGAGCCGCGCGCCCGCCAAGAAGCTGCGTAATGGCAGGCGGG